TTCTTTTCACTTCTAAATAACACTTAGTTTTATGATAATGAAATTATTATTATTGTTATTATTATCATTTATTTGCTTGTTTGTTTACTTTTCTTCATTACTGTGTTTTCCCAAGAAATTTCCTGTAATTTATTTTTGACTTATAATGTGTTTGTCTAATGTTTGTATAATGTTACACTTAATTACTTTCATCTTCACTGTGCTAAGTCTGTAATTGGCCTTACGGCTGTTGACTTGGCATATAAATAATAAAGAATTGAATTGAATTATTATTATTATTATTACTACTACCCTTACTATTGCTATTATCATCATCCATCCCCCAGTTTGATAGGGGGGAAATTAATTTAAAATAAATGTAGAATATGTTCTTTTTGTAATAAAAATTTCATCCTGTTGAAAATTGTTTTAATATATGTGACAAAAACCATGCACTACGCATATTATAGTGCAAACCCTGAACATATGAGTGTAATATATGTTTTATTTACTGATTTTAGGCTTTCACAGTATTTAATTGTTGATGTTAATTCTGTTCTTGGGTTGTTGCATGGTATGTTTGCAGATGATGTTGCTGTTGTTTTGGAGGTACATATTGTTGATCTTCTTCGTGTTGCGCTTATATATCACTTAACAGCCACATTGGATGAGAAGAACTTCTATTATAATACAAAACAAAAACAAATGAATATAGATCACTATTACCAAATTGAACATTTTTACATTACTAGATCTCAACATTCCTCCTTAATTTCAAAATGTTGTCAACATTATTAGCTGTTTTACAAAGTTAAACTGAATAGCACTTAGTAATTTTGGTCTTCAGATTACAAAATTAGTACATGTAATTAAAATTTTCTGTCATATCACAATCATACTTATTTCTTCTTAAGTATAATATCTCTAAACTTGGTAAATTTCTCTGGTGATAGCGGTTTTGTTAAAATGTCTGCCACCTGAGTTTCAGTGTTACAATATTTGATTGAGAACAGTTTCTCTTTCAATTGTTCACTTATGTAGTGATACCTGACGTCTATGTGCTTACTCCTATGTGTTACTTGTCCAGATTCTATTAGCTTGATTGCACTCTGATTGTCGACACAGTTCAGCTACCACCCTTTTTCCTGTCAACTCCTCTATCAATGTCTTTAGAAATTTCAATTCTTTACCGCACTCAGCTGCTGCAATATATTCGGCCTCAGTGGTTAATAATGCAACAATACTGTGTTTCCTAGAGCACCATGATATTGGGCCCCCTGACATCATAATTACATATCCTGTTACACTCTTCCTATCCTTTACGTCCCCTGCATAATCAGCATCACTAAATGCTTCCAGTTTCACAGTCTTGGAGTCAGTTGAGGTATATTTTATTTCTGAATCTCGTGTACCTTTCACATACCTAAGGGTCCTTTTCACATTCTGAACAGCTATTTTGTCAGGATTTTCCAAGGTTCGACTTTCCATATTTACAGCGAATGCCATATCGGTTCTGGTTTTAGAAGTCACATGTATCAGGCTTCCTACAGCTTCTCTGTAAGGAAATCTTATGTCATTTTTGTCATTTTCTCCTTCGTCATTTGTTGGTATGGTCATGGCCATGGGTGTTTTCATTTCTCAACTTTCTTGCAAGTTGTATTTTTCCAACACATGGCTTGCATAGTTGGTCTGAGAGATATGTATCCCATCTGGTTACCTCTCAGTTTGTATTCCTAAATAAGCTTTTGGATTTGTGGTTTTTGTTATCTGGAATTGATTTTCCACTTTCAGCAAAATTTCCTCTATTTGTCTTTCATTCTCTCCCATGATTATGCTGTCATCCACATGAATGACCATGAACAAATTATTGGCATCATTCTTAAAAATGCATTGGTCAGATTTTAGTTGGTTTAGACCTTCTTCTTTTAGGAAGGTTGTCAACTTCTTGTTCCAGTGTGATGGCGCTTGTCTTAGGCCATATAATGCCTTTTTCAGGAGACAAATCTTACCAGTGTTCTTGTATCCTTCTGGTATCTCCATGTAGTTTTCCTCCTCAAGGTCCCCATACAGGAAGGCAGTCTTCACATCAAAGGTTTGCATGTTCATATTCTTACGTGCTGCTATGGCAACGGTACTTTAAGAGAATTCATGTCAACAACTGGGCTAAAGGTATCCTTGAAATCTATTTCCCCTTCCTTTTCTTGGCATCCTCTCACAACCAGTCTGGCTATGTGTCTTCCATCATCCTTTATTTTGAAAACCCATTTACTGGTCAAAATTTTCTTGCCCATTGCTTTCTCTCTGTTTATATATATCCGAGTTTTGTTTTGGTAGAGTGAATCATTTTCCTCTTTAATGGCTTTCTTCCACTTCTTGCCGTCTCCGCTCTCCATGCACTCGTCATATGTAGAGGTGAGCATACCATCCTTTTGACTCTCTGTGTGATAGTCTTGGTACTTTGGGTGCATTTGAATGTTTCTTCTTGGTCTCAATGCATATCCATGTTCGTTTTGTCCATTGTTTTTCCTTCCATTATCCTTGTGGTCAGCATTTTCATTTTCTTCATCCTCTTCAGTATCTGTTGGTTCTTCATTGTTGTCAGCTTCGGGTTCTTGCTGCATTTCGCTATCTTCCTGATCTGGAGTATTTGGCTTGTCTTCTGGATCCGTCACTCTTTCCATTTCCTTTTGTTTATTTGTTGTCATAGGTTTACTTGTGAAT